ATATGCCAGTATAAGATAAATATTATAGTACCAAAAAAAAGTAATGGAATTAACATTTTTGAGGAAAGGAAAAACTTAAATTACATGTTGGTCTGTTGAAGTACTAAATAAAAACAATACACCTCCTATTCTCTTATTTGTTCTTTAGTTTTGAAGTAAACATTAACAAAAAGAATAAATTTCAAAGTTAAAAATATTTGATTCAGTTATTTAAAAGAATAGTTTCACATATAAACTAAAATTTGTACTTACCAACCAGAAAAATTACACCTCAAAGTTTGCACTTTGTTTCACTCTTAAATTTTCCACACAAATGAAAACTCTAACTGGTCACATAGAATAAAAACACTGAAGCAATCAGGTTCTGTTTCTTCATCCTTACAATCACCATGCTACCACTATTTATTAATAAGAGTTATTTAAATGAGAGATATAGACCTAAGGAGGACATGAACTGTGCCCAAAACTCTGAATTACCCTGAATTTTTATGAATTTATTTAGGAAAATACCCACATAGATGACTCTATGTTTACTGAAGGCCAACTGAATAACTGGGAGTTCTCTGAATTATCTTCCATGTAGAATATATTTATTAAATGATAATTAAAATGTGCTAATTTAAAGTTTATATATGCATTATTAAAACTTAATAACTACAGAAATTGTTCAGAACTTAGATTTTAAGATCTTATTTATTTATTTGACAGAGAAAGAGACAGTGAGAGAGGGAACACAAGCAGGAGGTGCGTGAGAAGCAGGCTTCCCGCTGAGCAGGGAGCCAGATGCGGGGCTCGATCCCAGGACCCTGGGATCATGATCTGAGCCAAAGGCAGACGCTTAACAGCTGAGCCACCCAGGCACCCTGAAAGATTTTTTTTTTTAATCACCAAGACTGCTTAGAATTTGATACATAAAAATTACCAGTAGTAAAAAGCAGAGAGACTTTGAGTGGGTTTATTACAGTTTAAATTTTCTAAGGACAATGAGAATTATTATTGCCTACACCTAAGGTGATGCTCTTATTGTCCCACTCTTGGTATGCCACTGCTCAAGGTAAAATCTGCCATTGAAGTACTATCTGTAAAGATGGGTTTGCTGCATTAAGTATATTTAATCTACTTGTAAGAAAACCTTTTTAATACGAAATGTTAATTGAGGGCCTACTGAGTGCATGGTAGTACGCTTTGTGTTTTACCCACACAGACTATATGCACATGAACTTGACTAACTTAAAGTCAATCATATTTATTCATTAAAGCCATTTCAGTAGGATTTTTTTTTTTTTTAGATTTTATTTATTCATTTTAGAGAGAGAGAGCCCACAACCCTGAGATCACAACCTGAGCTGAAATCAAGAGTCGGACTCTCAACCGAGTGAACCATCCAGGTGCCCCTCAGCAGGATTTTTTAAAAGCTGTTTTGGTAGCACCTATTGTGTATATACTTAAGTGTTTAAATAAGTATCACACAAAGTCACGTGTATTCCATTTTTCAGGATTCTCACTAACTCAGATTGGCCTTCTCCCTGTGTGTTCTAAGTAAATGAGGTGGTGTTAAAAATCAACATTTAGAAAAGGTTTTAAAATATTAACAGATACATAAACATTAACAATTTAAGATCTCCTGGTATTAAATTTCACAAATCATGTGGTGTCACATTCATGTTCTATTTTTACAAGCAACTACCTCAAGAGAACAAATTTTAACTCTGATATCAATTTTTTTCAGACATTCACAAGATCAACATAATCTCTAATCTGCCCTCTCATAATACTGTAGCTATATACACGCACAAATTTTCTGATTATGTGATTCTGCTACTCTTGAAAAGACAGTCTTTTTAACTTAAAGAAAATCTGGGGTGCCTGGCTGCCTCAGTTGGTACAGCATACGACTCTTGATCTTGGGGTCAGGAGTTCAAATCCCATATTGGGTGTAGAGCTCACTAAAAATAAAAAAATAATCTGACTTACCTCCAAAGACATTTTGGTATGGGATATCATGCCAATTACAGCCACATTAGAAGCAGGTGTATCTGGCAAGAGAGTGTTAATTTCCCAGTTAATTTCTTCTACTCCTGCTTTATAGCTCCTATTTTACTAGTACTGTGGAACTCCCTCACCCACAAAATTCCCTCTGGTTAGTCACCTGGTCTTCTGAAGCAGCACCTGTTCTGTTTATAGCTCTAGTATTCCCCAACCTCTCCTATTGATAAGAATCCCCTGGGGCAGTTGAAAATAAAAATCACATGCCACTCTCCTGTAGATTAGATTTTAATATGTTTGAGATAAGGTCGCAGAATCTGATTTTATTTTATTCTTTAATTTTTTAAGATTTTATTTATTTATTTATTTGACAGAGAGACAGCAAGAGAAGGAACACAAGCGGGGGGGTGGGAGAGGGAGAAGCAGGCTTCCCGCAGAGCAGGGAGCCCGATGTGGGGCTCGATACCAGGACCCTGGGATCATGACCTGAACCAAAGGCAGATGCTTAACGACTGAGCCACCCAGGCGCCCCCCAGAATCTGATTTTAAACAAGAGTTCCCAAGTGATTCTTACAGGCAAGTCTAAGAACAAGCTAAAGAGGCCTGCCAGAGCTCTTCACAGTTCCTCTAAACTGGTCAGCCTCAAGGGCTAGTCCTCTGGGTGTTAGGGGTATTTGAACACAAGAACAGGACCTGTTTGGAGAAAGCCGAATGCCACTCTATCTACCTCTGTTTTCAATACCAAAATTTACCTGAGAGAGGGAAGATTTTGAGTATGCGCTGTGAAGTAGGATACCACCAGGGGGCAGCATAGAGCTGACAAATTATACGTGTCCGGAGTGGGTTTTGTTGTTGTTGTTGTTGTTTTTACTTCACCATATAAAATGGTTGCACCTACATTTTCCATGAACTCAGACTACCAAAAAAGGAGGTTGGGGTAGCACACTTAGAAGATACAGGTAAAAGATGTTAGCACATAATTTCTACATAGTTTTTTTCCCTCGCTGGCTGTCTTTACAGCAGCCATTGTAAACAAAAATTTCCCTTGAAGTAGCATTGCACCTGGAACCAAAAATTGTATTGGACTACAAAGACTCCAGGTAAACCAAAGTGATCTTCCATTTCGTCTGTAAGTTTCAAAACACTTGTCCTACTCTTTTAACTAGCATTGTAACTGGGTGCTTTTCAACGGTGTTATCAAATCTTTAGAGTTCTCTAAGTGAGGGAAAAATGCAGTGGATAACAATGTGAGCCAACCATGCGAAGGCTTATTTTTTTTTTCAAGTATAATCAAAATGCTGCCACCACTTGTCAGCAAACTATAGTCTACTCACCTCCATGTTATCCATACTCCCAAATTTTCTTGACCCATCCCCACTTTCTCCCCTCCAGTCCACATTTCTTCCTTCTGGAAATGTAAAAGAAAAATCCTCTGGCAACCCAGGTAGCCTCTACAAATACCACTACCAAGGGCTTTTTTCCCTCTGAAATTCCACGATTAGTATAAGCAGCACTGAAATCTGAGGGATGACCTGAAGAAACTTGACCTATTCCCAGCTTGCCAAATTAGATACTCCCTACCTAGATAGATATTCCTTGGTCTGAGAAAAGCATGATCCAGGCTCAGGGGCAATTTCATGACCTAGGTTTTGAAGTCTTTCAATTTCACAATTTCCATCTTTTAGCTAGCAAAGCAGAAGGGCAGAAGGAGGCAAGAATGACAGAAACATTCCTGGGAGGCCAAATGGGCCTAAAGAAAAACAAAATGCCTTCAGAAGAGGTAGGAGAACTGGAAATCAAGGTTGTCTGCAGAGCCAAGGGCTACACTGGAGTATGTGTTCTAGAAAGGAGGGTTTCCAAACTTTTCAAGTATTTTAACAAAAATGTCAGAACCCCATGGCTATATTTTTAGCATAAACTGATGGAAACTAAAAATAAAAGCTTTGAGTTCAGAAGCTGCCTTAGTGACCGTGTTCCACTACTCAGGGCAGTACTTGGAGACATTAGAGTTGTACATATATACATGTGAGGACTCTTCTACAGAGAATATTTGTGGGTGCATCCAGAATCCTCACCTACTCCACTTACCCCACCTGCTAACTTAGAAACATAGTCCTACAACACACTCTCAACGAGGTCGATATCATCTCCAAGGGGCGAAATCTTATATATGTAAAAAAGCAAGCTACACCTAAACAGCTAAACTGCTATAGTTTATCAGTGATATTTGAATTTCATGGGGGGAGGGCAGTGATTCGTGAGCAAAATGTCTAAAAAGATTTAAGAGGGCGATAATGGAAAGGGGGAAAAAAAGGTTGAGACACACTGTCCTACAAGGGTCCTGGGCTGAGACTATCAAATGAAGGTCCTGATAGGCATTTTTCTCCCAAGACAGCCCATGGAGGGTCAGTGGTCTCTGAGTCTTTCCCTCCTGGATGGCCTCAAAACGTAGAGGGCAACGCCTGCCGTTCGCTCCCTCACAGGGTGCCATGTGCGGATTTAACGAAAAACTGGCAACAGCTCTGGAAACTGCAAAGCGCTGCACCAAAGCCTGAGCAGGCTTCTTTGCTCGATTGTACGAAGCCCCCCGGCCGGGGCCCGGTCAGCCTCCGCACTTGTTGCTTCCCCGGCGCGCCCAGCCCGCCTCCACCTCAGACCTTCCCTTCGCGACCCCCTCCTCTCCACACGCGCACATGCGGACCCCCCAACTCGGCCGTGCGACCCCCTCACCCACGCCACGGCGCCGGCACGCTGCGTTCGAGCCCTGCTGGCGGCCCAGCCTCCGCCCCCTGCCCGGCTCTCGCCGCCAGTCGGACCCCCGGAGGCCGCGGTTTCCTAGACAGCCGCGCCACCGCTCCGTAGCCTCCGGGGCGCGCGTGCGCGCGCGAACGGCGGAAGGCGAGGGCGCAGGCGTGGGCCCGGCGAGGCGCCGGAGCGAGGCCGCGCGCGCGCCCCCGAGCGCGGTGGGCGGAGGAGCCGAGGGAGCGGCGGAGCCGCGAGGGGGCGGGGGGGGTGGGGGGCGGACAGGGGAGCCCCGGGAGCGCGAGCTGCGGCCGGCGCCGCTGCAGAGCCGAGCGAATCCCGAGCCCAGGCAGCAGGTATGTGTCCTCGAAGCCGGCCGTGGCCAGGGCTTCCCTGCCTCGATGCCCGGGTCCTGTGGCCAGGGCGGGGGTGGGGACCGGTCAAGGTTTGCAGGGTGTGTGTCCGAGAGGGCTGGGATCTTACCACTGACCTTCATCCCCGCTCGCCGGGGGAGCAAGATGGGTGAGTGGGGCAATCCAGGGCTTCAGCTTCAGCTCCAGCCTGGGGATCTGCTTCTTGTCACATGCTTCTTATTTATTTTTGCAAACTGCTCTGGTTCGGGTCCAGCTGCAGATGTTTTACCTCCCATTCTTTGCCTCCGTGTGCCATCTTGCATTTATTAATAAAACATACAAGCTGGGGTGTGGGGGGAGGTGGATTGCTGCTGGGGGGAATCCCATTGCAGTATGGGTTGAGTGGCGCCTATTTTCGGTTTTCAGGCGTGGTATTGAGGTGGAAATCCCACACCCTGGGCATTTGTGGCTTGTTTGGTCGTGACCACTTCCTAGTGGGCTTCCCCCATTTGTCTGCAGGCGCTACAGCGGCAGGATGGGCTGTCAGGAAAGGATGGTGGGCTTTCACCGTCAGGCCAGAATCCCCTTCAAGGGACAGGTGCACACAGTTACCTGTTTGCTAACTTGCCAAGGAGACTTAAACCCAGAAAATTGTTTCCCGTGATTGCCGAGAGGAGGCCTTGAACAGAATCCTCGAGACTTGCATACTCAAACTCATTAAGGTTTTGCATCTGAAGATGACTAAAGCTTGCCACCTGTTGGAAGTCAAACCCCATGAAATCTTCCATAATCTAGCCCACCAATTCCTGTTTCAGTCACTAATACTTAGCGATAGGCCCATACTGGTTCTTCCTATCTTCTTTAACATTGCTTGTCATTTGTTCTTTTAAATTTCAATCTATGATTTGATGCTCCATATGTTATAAATTACATGATTTGTATATATTCCATACATTTATAACATCATATCCTAAAGACTGAATTTCTTTTCAGTGTCTAGGTTACCGATTTCCTAGCTTTTCACCTTGCTTCAAGCTGCAGTCCAAAAAGTGGGGTATATATAACTGATTACTTTTCTCTGCCCCTCCCCCCCCATACTGTGGTAAAAAGAATAGTACAAGCTAGAAGCATAAAATGAAAATGGGTATCCCAAGACATTAGGATATGGTGGCAGAACTAATTGCTTGTAAACCATAGTCTGTGTGCCACATCTAATCATGAGGACACGTTCTTAAATGCTTATATGTGCCAGGTATGGAGCTAAAGGGTGTTTGTGCATGATCTTATTTAATCTTCACAACAAACCTATTATCTCCATGTTGAAGATGAAGAAGGTAAGACTAAGAAGGGTTAGCTAACTTGCCCAAGGTCACACAGTTGAGAATGGAGAATCGAAATAAAGATGCAAACTCAAGTGCATCTGATTGCTGGGGGTGGAGTGGCATTGGGAGGAACCTTTAACGCCGGTGCTGCCACTGCATCTATATTTTAATTAAGATCAAGCTTATGCATGAGCATACATGCTTGGATCTGATTTTCCATTTCATAGATTCCACATCAGTCTTTGTGGATTTCCAGTAAGAGAAACGGTTATCTCAGAATGGGTCTGTGTGGAATTTTTTGAGGTGGCACTGAGCCTATAAAAAATGGTGTCCTAGACATGCTTCCATTTAACTCTCTCAAACAAGCAGTTAAGTTCAAAAAAGTTGTTTCCCTTCAGATTTAAATCTATAAAATGTATGTGCATCAGATAGAATGAATCACTCGTGTTTTTCATTATCGCATCCCACTCCAGTCTTCTTGCCACCCTGCACGCCGGCTTCTGGTCTCAGTGCCAGTCATAAGAACAACATTGTCTATCACACTTGTATGTAAGTGCCTTAATGGGGTGAAGGAATTCAGACCAGTCGACCATAATCCAGTCTCTCTATGGTAGCAATTATTCACTTGAAAATCTTAGAATCTGTGCATTCAGCTATGGATGTATACTTAATCTTTTTTTGCAAGTGCATTATTATAATGCAAATATTGGATTTTGCTACACATTCCAGTAGTTCTCATAGACTTAGAAATTACTGTAGTTGCATCATTGGAAAATCCCCTCAGTGAGGCTACAAACTTTTATATTCAGGTCACATATTTAAGATAGTAGTGAGAAAGGTATAAGTAAATATAAGGGATTATTTGAAAATTATATCCCATGGAAATTAGAGCTTTTAATAATAAATTGATGGCTAATATTAGGAAATATAAGATACTCATAAATTCTGTAAGCTCTATTTTCTTCCTTGGGTAAGACAACTGGTTTTAGAACACCATGATCTTACTTTTTCATTATGCTTTGTTGTGTTGACAGTAAAGCAATTTGCATAGCCACTTTGCCTCATGGAAAACACTGGGTTTTAGAAGAGCATATTCCCCAGTGCTTATGGAAATGCTGAAATGGAGTCTTTCCGCTCTGAGGATTTCCAGTCTGATCAGATAAACTCGAGATGAGTCCTGATGTTACTGGGGAAGCAGCAGAAAGCAAAGAGAGGTTGCTTGATTTCTGGAGAGGAAATGGGTTTTCCTATGTAGAGCATCACTATTTTCTTCAGTCAGAAATCTCATAATTAAAAAGCATCCAAGAAGTAAGAAGTCTACTCTATTCCATTCAAGCAGGATTTTATTTTTTTTTATTTTTTTAAAGATTTTATTTATTTATTTGAGAGAGAGAATGAGATAGAGAGAGCATGAGAGGGGGGAGGGTCAGAGGGAGAAGCAGACTCCCTGCTGAGCAGGGAGCCCGATGCAGGACTCTATCCCAGGACTCCAGGATCAGAACTGGCTTATTTATCTCTCTTTGACTGACCTTGTAAGCTACTTAGTTGTGAAATGCGTTTTTTGTTATAGTATTCTTAACTTAGTATTCTTTAAAATGAGATTTTTTTTTTCAGTGTCAACAATCTTGAATCATAAAAGAAGTTCACAGTCAGCTTACTTTAAGATACTTTATTTTCATTGGTCTCTTTTTCTCTCCGTAGTGGCAGCCATTGCAAGAGTTTTAATTTTATTAAGAAAATGGTTCACAATCCATGAGTTAATCCATCCCCTTTCCAAACTGGACCAGAGTTCACAGTTGCTGGCCAGGCACACTCCCATAGGACCTTCATCTGTGAACCCTTCATCTGTAGCTCCCTTTGGCCTTATTTGCACCCAGTTTCCCCACATAGAAGGTGTAAGGGGTCCTAAAGTTAGGTCCCACAAGGCAGGCCTTGCTTGGGTAAGTGAGGTGGAATAGTGGCTACTCGATACTGATCTAGGAGAGGGTCAGGGAGTCACTTCTCCAGCATCAACTCTAGCCTATATTGTGATTTCTACTTGTAAATATAGTATGTACTCATTGTAAAATGCTTAAGCATTACATAAATATAGAAGGTAGAAGGTCAGTGACTAGAATCTTTAGTAATCTTACCCTCAGCAATAGTCAGTAAATAGTTTGGTATGAATTCTAAATTTTTTAATGTGGATACTGAAATGTTACTGTTTGTCAACAATACTATACGTAGATGCCTATGGTTTGCAGGGCCTTTTTTTATTCCACGGGGTAATGGATCTTGCATTCTTAGAGGCCCGTGAATGGCCTACTTCTAGATATGTGTTATTCAGCCACAATGGGAGCTAGGTGAGAGGAGCCCTGTAACCAGGGGAAGAGGCAAGGGACTAATGTGTGGTGGGTAGGAACTGGGCATGATCCATGTCCTATGATAGGTATTTTTACATTCTGTATCTCTTTTAACCCTTTGCAATTATCCTTCGTGGTTAACTGTGTATAGATGAAGAGAGACAGAGTCCAAGGTCCAGGAGATTTAAGGAGCCAAGCTGAGATGCAAGCCCAGATCAGTGTGGCTCAGATTCAGGGCTTTTTCGTTTTGATTGCAGAACGAAGAGCGCTTTGCCTCCGCCCATCCACACTGACCTCCTTGCTGTTCCCCCGCCTCAGAGCCTTAACACTCACTAGTGGTTCTCTCTCCTAGAATGCCCTTCCCACAGATATCTGCTTTGTTTGCTCCCTCACCTCCTTTTGGCTTTGCTCAAAGTCTGACTACTTCTTTAAAACTAAGCACTCTCCCAAAAGCATTCTTAGCCCTCCTCCCTGCTTTGTTTTCATTCATAGTCCCTCTGCTAGTTTATTTTACTACTTAGTTTATTTACCTTACGAATTGGTTGTTTTGTTTATTGTCCATCTCCCCCAGGGAATGAATGCTCCAGAGCACAGGGATTTTGTCTATTTTGTTCACTCCCCGAACCCTGATGTTGTACAAAAGAACTGACAAGTCACTGTGATATCCTTGAATCTCTCTAGCCTCCTACCCTCCTTGTTTTTGTTAGCCCTTAAACTTCCCCATAGTGAGCAGTGAAACTCTAAAATGCAGAGACTCTATGTGTGTGTTTGGAGGAATAGCAAAGGAAGTAGAGAAGAATCAGGAGGGATCTTGTCTTAACTGGGTGTCAGGGAGAGAGAAACCTCCCAGATAGACAAAGGAAGATGAAAAAAAAGTCACCTGAGAGCTGGGATGTGTGACAAGGCAGCAAAAGGTACATGGGGAGATGGCCAGGGATGAAGAGGAGACCAGTTCAGGTTTCCCTCTATTTGGTGTACATAATGTTTTTTGAAGACTTCCAAAGAAGAAGACACCAGATTCCACCAACTTTCCTAGTGGCCTAAGTTGCTAGAAAGGAAAAAGAATCGATGGACATTCACACAGGTAGGCTAATCACTGCACTACCAGCATCAAACTGTTGCACTTTTTAAAGATTAAATACCTGTTGGTATCTTTCCTGTTTAAGCCAGAGTGTGAGAGTTCATTGCCAAAGCACTTAGCTCGCGTGTCTGAGTTTTGGCAGGAAGCACGTACCAACAGCATCACAGCCTGAGATTCTTTTGGCCCAAGCAGTCCCAGACTCATGGTTACCTTTCATACATCTTTTGTTTGCAGTAGTTCTTGGGCCGGAGCAAAATG